AATAATTTTGGGGAAAATGGAAAAAGAGGCCATTTTTCGAGTTTTCATTCCGTTGTGTGTTTTGAAAATGAAGTTTTCAGTAGAATTTTTTTTTGTTTTCAAAAATACATTTTCGAAAACGGGAAAGAGAATGCATTTTCACTGTTTTGAAAATAAAAAATAAAAAACGGTCCGAAAATAGCAAAGAGAATAGCCCCTAAGCAACTTTCTTATTTGGTTTGATACATCAACGAAGTGCATATTTAATTAGATGAGTTATTTTTCCTTGAAGATGGATGCCATTCTACTTTTTCGATTTGAAAAAAAGTGAGAAGTTTTTGTTGCTTATGATAATTGAGTTGCTATGCTCTTAGATTAGATTCAACTTTTTATATTGCTGATTTGTAGATGATGGTGGTCGACAATATGGATTCCACATTTTGTATGTATAACTTGTCTATTCAAAATTGATCCTTTGAAATCAACTTTAAATGTAAAACGAATATGCTGTAAACTCTATCCTGAAATTATTAACTCAAACTCATTTCTTCAATTTGTTTCTCCATCACTAAATCAATATTCATTTTCCATTCCATGCTATCAAAATGGTCACATATTTATAAAATAATTACAAAAAATTGTTGGACAAAAATGTAGAAAATATGTTGAAACACCATTACAATGTGGGTAACAATGTGATGTAAAAAAAAAAAAAATCTGAAAATTTGAAAAACCAAAATTCGCGCCGTCTCTCACTTCTCTACCAATTTTCCCCAAATCAAACCCTACTCCCTTCTCTCCCCATTTCCTCCCAAGATATTCAACTCCAAAGCATTCACCTTCGACCGTCGCTCAACTCCAGCAGTCTCCTCACCTCTTGTAGTCTTCTGAAATTCGGCTGCCGCAAAATCATCGGTTGACGTCTCTCATCTCTCAATCCTTCAATTCCACTGATTTTTTTTCTTTGCTAAACAATAAGATTTTTTTTTGTACAATTTTGACATTTGCTCTTGGTTCCTCCGTCGATTGATCGTTTGACATTGGTTTCTAGTGTT